AAAAAAAAAAAAACGTTTTTGAGAAAAAATTGAGACAAAAGAACTTTGAAAAGATTCAGTTCAACATTCTTCACCATACGCATTTGCTAGATTTAGCAACTTCTAGAAGGTAACGAAGAAAGAGGAGCAGAAAAAGTCTTCATGTTTTTTCTCTGTCTAATGGATCTTCCTGGTTGATAAAGTTACGGTTTTGCGTAAGCGATAACAATAGTAATATTGAAATTGACAGTGCTAATTACTACGACAGGGTGAATTAAACCCGGAAGAAATAGTGGTCAAATTGCTTTGGCTTTCTGTATTCTCCTATAAACTGAGTTATTAGTTGCATTTCAAAAAATTGTTTTTTGGGTTTTTTATAGTGTCATTTTGTTTGCATATTAGGCACTTCCATTGTGAGCATAAAGTTGTGGCAGATCAGTAAAGAAAGTTTTAAGGACTGTTTTAAAAAATGTTGGGCGACGCATAAGTCTGTGCATAAAGTTCAAGAGGAAATAACATCTTTGTTTAATCCGTGGCCAAATTATAAATTTACTGGTTCACTGAGGCCAGCTACCTTGAGTAAGCCAAGAACAGTCCCAGAATCAATACCGCGGCCTGATTATGCGTTGGACTCAGATGGGATTTCATATGAGGAGAAAAGTGCAAAAAGATCAAATGAAGTAAAGGTAATTCTTTTTTTTTTTTTTGAATGCTTTTATCTAGTGGATGATGCACTAGTCATTTCTTCTTCCTGTCATTTTAGATTTTAAATGACGAAGAGATAGAAGGTTTAAAAGTAGCCTGCAGATTAGGCCGAGAAGTTCTGGATGAGGCAGCTAAAGTATGTGCTCCTGGCATTACAACAGACGAGATTGATAGGATCGTGCATGAAGCATGTGTGGAACGTGAATGTTACCCTTCTCCGTTAGGGTAGTTGCCCTTGTTTTTGAAATGCACCAGAAGTAAAAGCCTTTAATCAAATTAGTACAAAGTGATTTTTGCGACAATAACCGTACTTATAGTGTTATGGCTGATAAACTGTTTTTACCATTTCTTTATATGAGTTTTTAAGAACGGTTTGTCGTTACAAAGTGAAGTCGCATTTTTGGCTTACCAAAACTCTCTGCTACTCAAGATGTTAACCTTGCTGCTATGATTATTCAGTGACAATATAGCTGCATTGAGATGTATTTATTGTATCCTTGCTACTCGGAATATTATTGACCCTGCAGATATTGTTTTTTTGCCAAGTCATTTGGGTAGTCACCGTCGAAACTTTTTCAGATACTACAATTTTCCAAAAAGTGTGTGTACATCTGTGAATGAAGTAATCTGTCATGGTATTCCTGACATGCGGCCTTTAGAAGATGGAGATATATGCAACGGTTTGGTTTTTTAAAAGTTTTTGAAATGTATATAATTATTTTTGCATGTTTTTACTCTTTTCTATACGAATAAGTAATTTGGAGTGCTTGGATATTGTTCCCATAGTTTTGTATCCTCATTAGGTGTAACTTTTTCCAAAAAGAAGTGGAATTTTGAGTATTAGGTTTGTATTAGTGTTAGTATTATTTTTTTTCGTTTTTTTTTTTTAAATTTTGAGTATTTTGAGTATTATGCAGGTAGGCAAAGTAGAGATTTCAGAGGAGAATTTTTTTTGAATTTGTGGCTAGCTCGTTATTAAAACCCGAAATGTAGTCTTTATAATTGAAGATCTTACTAGCCTGAATTTGTGGAATATATGGTTTTCAAAATTTTGTGGTTCATAAACATTCTATAAAAGCTGGACTGAATTTGAAAGATGTTTTTTTGCTTATTAGTGTATACGGGTCTAAATCTGCTTTAATAGACTCATTTTTTCTTGAAGAGGGGGGTTTAGAGTTAGAAGTGATTTCAAGTGCATCTTTCAATTAACGGCTGTTGGATAAGTCTTTTATATGGACACGTTGCTACGCTGAGTTGTGGTAGTTTAATGTTCGTTATTATTTTTATGAAGAGTGGTTGCTTCAGTTGATGTGACAGTGTATCACAGGGGATTTCACGGAGATCTTAACGAAACTTTCCTTGTTGGAACAAAGGTTGATGAAAAATCACGAAAGCTTGTAACAGTTGCTTATGAATGTTTACAAGAAGCCATGAAACTGAGTAGGACTTTTCTTTATTTAAAATAGGTTTTGCAAATTCTCCGGTTTTTGTGACTATTGTGAAACAGGATTGAAGCAAGATTTTCAAGAATGATAATATTTTCAATAAATTAAAAGTGTGTCTGTTTTAGTCAGACCGGGGACAAAGTTTCGCGATCTTGGTAACGCAATACAGAAGCACGCAAATGCGCATGGATTTTCAGTCGTGAGATCTTATTGTGGCCACGGCATTCATCGGTATTATTTTGTTTATGTCTACTTCTTTTACCTTTCACTTGTTTTAAGTTTTGTTATGTAGAAGTCTTTGACCGAATTTTTCTATATTAAGTATCACCAAACTTAATGTTTTTTTAGGCTTTTTCATACGGCTCCAAATGTTCCACATTATGCTAGTGAGTTGTATTTTTTATTTGCTTAAAAAGCTGTTAAGATACCTAATTCTGTATCGCTAGACTAATGTTGGTTTTTCTTTCGTATTTTTCATAAGTGTCTGAAGGAAGTTAAGATCCCAAGTGGTTGCAATGGATCATTGATTTACCATTACTTTATCTTCAAGAGAACAAGTCCTATGGTGTCATGAAAGCTGGAAACGCTTTTACCGTTGAGCCCATGATTAACGCAGGTACATTCAGCGATGTGACGTGGCCGGATAAATGGACAGCTGTTACGGTACGCTGATCTGTTAGGGAACGGTTTTAAGTGTTGTTTGGTTAAGCCTTTGTTTTTATTTTATTATTTAAGCCTGTTGAAATAATTCCGAAACTCAAAATTTCACGTTTTAGACTGATGGCGAGAGGTCTGCACAGTTTGAACACACATTTTTGGTGACTGAGAACGGATGCGAAGTACTCACTCAGAGGAGTACAGGAAGGCCGTGGTTTTTTGATCAGTTGGAAGAAAGTTATAAGTAATATAATAAGGTTGCATATAACTGGTTTTCTTTATTCAAAATGACTGTTTTATATTTTTTTAAGCTCCAAAAGTGCTCGATGAAGCTTTTCTCTGAAAAAGTTATATTTGTAGTCTTAGATCGGATAGAAGTCATGTTAGAAAAATGGTTTAGCTTAAACCTCTTTTACAGCATAAATTTTGGTTTAAAAATATTTATTGAGTTAAAAAGTTAAAAGAAATATGAGAAAAAGTATTTATCGACCCATGTATTATTCAAAACCGACACGCCTTTCTTGATAGCTGTTGTCTGTTATCTTTGGTTATTGTATTGTTGTCACAGTATCTCTTTTTACGTCTGAATACTTCAGTTTTATTTAATGCTTTTACGAACGGGTCATAGAATCTTCATGAGTTTAATATTTGGGCTTCAAACATTCTATGCCTCGGCTACATTTTAGAGGGATGGTTTCGTACAGAAGAAATTTTTAAAAAAAATTTTGCTATTTATTATTCATTAGAATTTAAAGTGCTATGTGAGGTTTATTGTTTTTTTAAAAGTTGTCTTCAAGAAGTTTCGTTAAGCTGAGACCAGGAGTAAATGGAGGAAAGAATTATTGCTTTTGCATCAGATTTTTTGCCTGCTTTGAAGTTATTATATGATTTTTGAAAAATAAATTAGTTTTTGCTGAGCCTAGGCTATCTGATGAAGTTGGTTGGCAACGGTGTTGTATATTGCCTGTAAACCACCGAGTTCCGTTTTTGAATGTGTGACATTTTTGATCCTCTTCTTAGGATTTTAAGTAAAGCAGTAACGACTATTGGTGGGTACTTTTTACAATTCAGTACGGTATTATATAGTAATTCTTTTTTACAGTAATATCAATCAACACAGAAAGTGGTTAGGCAACGAAATATGGACATACAGATCATAC